AGAAGGGGGAGGAGGGGATAACAGAATTACAAGTTTTTTTCTAAGTTCTTCTACCAGCTCTAATAATCAAATCAAGAGAGACAGACTAAGAGGAGAAAAGCAATTAAAAACATATATATAATCCTTTGGGTCAAACGTGTTTGACAAAAATCCCAGGGTTCAGGAAGTAAAAGGAGAATTTCCTTAATCTGGAAATGGCTTTGGGTGATTTCAGTGGCCAATGGAATGCCTCAAACATTTGTTGTCTCTCTCCTTATGTAAGAGAAAAAGTAAGCTAATTAGGCAGATTGATATACTCAAAATCTCATAGCATGCTTTATGAAATAAGGAATAAGGATGTATCTATATGCACAGTCTTATTAGTAAAAATGCATTTTTCAGAAGATTACAATCTGCAAGGATCTGCAATTTCCTGGTATATTTTCATCTGTAATTGTAGTTGACATCTTACAATGTATGTTGCAGAGAAAAACAACTTTGTCTATTGCTTTATAATCAGATTTATAACCCTGTTGTATTCAGTTTTAGTCATTTATAGACGGTCATTATTTTACTGATATTTTTGCAAGTATGTTTCATCTTCTGAAACACACAGGATTCTGATTTATTCCAAAATACAGATCTCGGAGAATAAACTTTAACATCTTACCTTTAAGATGGATGAAGATTTACAGAATTCTAAGGAATAACTGTATTCATGAAATGCTGGCAAATGATCAAGCTGAGCAAAAATTGATTATATGGCACTGAGTAGACTAAGGATGATTATAACTTCCATGGACTTTTGTTTAAAATATTACTGATTTAAAAATCTTTTCTTTGGGGCCGGCCGAGTGACTCAGTTGGTAAGAGCACGAGCTCTGAACAACAGGGCTGCCGGATCGATTCCCACATGGGCCAGTAAACTGCGCCCTCCACAGCTAAGATTGTGAACAACAGCTCGACCTGGAACTGTGCTGCCCTCAGTGGCTGGCGACGACATAGGCTGCAGTGGGCTGCTGTCAGCCACCATGAGCAGCCGTCCAATGGCCAGAGACCAAATGCCTCAACCGGGAAGAGTGCAATCATCATAATACCAACATGGGCCAGTGAAGTGGCATCCTCCACAACTGAACAGAAGGACAAAAGGACAACTTGGCTGTTCCCCTCCCACAATTCCCCAATAAAATATTTAAAAAACACAAACAACACTTCTCTTTGTAAGATAGAAGGAAATTTGTTTCTTTTACATGACCTAAGACTTAGCAATTTGGTAAGGTATACATTTGTAAACATTTTTTTTTCTACTTGATCCCTCCAGAATTCAGAAAGTCTTAATATTTTTTTATGCCAATGTGATTATTTGTAGAAGTTTGATACCAATCTGTCCTCTTTACAACAGGACATAATTTGAAACTAGTTTTTATTACCAAGACTCTGGCTGCAGTATCGTATTTGAGAGAGAAATGCATAGACTCAGATATAACCAGATGGCTTTAAGGAATTAAGGTTGCCTTCTGGAAGTCCACAGAAACCCTTGCTGTGATGGCTTGCTTACATGGTTCCCAGCAGCCTTACCACATGAGTAAACAATGTCACTTCTTGGCAGGTACAGGAACCTCAAGATATTTGGGGGCCTCAAGGAGAGGGCGACTCGCCCAAAACCAACATGCATCGCAGGCACCACTGGACGGCAAGGCCTTGCCTTGGCTTTCCTGGCCGTCAGTCCTCTTCTGTTCAGTCTGCAGATTAAAAGTGTGAACAAGTCCAGCAAGTGGCTGCATGGCTATTTAACGTTCTTGCTGGAGTTACACAGATAATAGGCCCAGTTTATTAAAACTGGACCATTTTGCAAATAAATAAATGATGCCTAATTTGGCTATCTTTGTTAACAATAGGTGATTTGAGAGAGAAAAATATGTTGCAATAGTAACTATACTACGCCTTTATAAATACTAAATTTTAGTGCTACCAGTTGACTTCTAGGTTTTGTTTTGTTTTCTGCTTGTAAACTGGACAGGATCCTGAATTCTTCTAGTTTCTTCAAATATCTGCCTATGACTCTCCAAACACATTTCCAATTTTTCTCCCATTCTTTGAGTAGGAATCATTGAGAACAGTGATTTTTCAAAAGCCATGCCAGCTAAAGATGACAACTTGATATAAAATTCAGAAACTGGCCACAATAGCACATCCCTAAACATCTCAGTGCCTGAAGCTGTGTCAGCCACACAGGGTTTACCTAAGAAAAATGAGTAGTCCTATTTTCAAGCGAATGTGCCAAAGCACAGGGAATGCCATGTTTTTCCCTCCTGAACAGAAGAAGATTTAAGATCCCCTAAGCTTGGGCCGGCCGAATGGTGCATTGAGCTGGCTTGGGACGCCAGAGGGCCCCGGTTCGGATCCCACATATGAGGGCCAGTGACACTGCCCTCTACAGCTAAGATGCTGAACAACAGCTCAACCTGGAGCTGGGCTGCCGTGAGTCGCCGGCTTCGGTGTGGGCTGCAGTCCCCTGCTGCAGTGGGTTGCCATGGGCTACTGTATGTAGCCAGCAGCCAGCATGAGCGGCCACAGCCAGCGTGAGCGGCCAGTAGCCAGCGACTGATCTGCCTCACCCGGGAAGAGCGCAATGATGGTGCCAACTTGGGCCAATGAAGCAACGTCCTCCACAACTAGACTGAAGAACAAAACGACAGCAACTTGTCTGTTCCCCTTCCCCCAATTCCCCAGCGCTGTTCCCATCCCCCCAATTCCCCAATTAAAAAAAACAAAGATCCCCTAACCTTGGACCCACAGGCTTTTTGGATGCTTACCAATAGATGCATGAGCTTCCTCCAGCTGGCAGAAATAAGAGCCCATCTCTGCAAGCTGGGGTCAGACACAGAACTCCCTTGAGAGCTTCTCCCGGCCGGATACCAAGCAAGGCGCACCATGACAAGGGCACCCTCTGGATGGGAGAGGTCAGACACGAAATATTCTCACTGATCATAAGGCCAAGCTCTCAGGACCTATAACAGGATGAGAGACACTAGACAGAGACAGAGAAAAACATAACCCATGAGAATTCACACAAAGTAACCAAGGATTACTAGGCCAAGAAGTAAATTTCACAAATATTTTCTCCTTCCATTCTGAATACAAAAAAAGACAAAGCGATTCCCACCACTTTGGCTTCCACTGGAGCCTACAGACAGAAATCTGGGGTGTCCTCACATGGTAAGAATCCCCACTTTAGGCCGGCCAGTGTCAGATGCCCCAGGATCTCATCTCCAGCAGCCCGAGGGGAAGTGCCGGCTTCCAACCTGTGACTTGACTCACAGCATCAACTGTTGGGAGAAATTATTGTAACTTCTACCATCAAGGTTCTTCTGGCTGATCTAAGAATCAAATAGACAGGAGACAGATTAGCAAGAGAAAATAAGCAGATTTGATACGTACACAAGGGAACCCCACACACAAGACAGAGTCAGGGACCCCACATGCAGGAGAGTTAGATTGAAAATGAACGTGGGTATAGAAGACCTCCTGAGCTAGGGATGACGCAGGTACCCTGGGGGCTTCAAAGGGTCATTGCAGAATAAGAACAGATGGTTGGTGACTGTGAGTTTGCCTTGCCCTATAGGTGGTCAGAGATGGTGGCTGATGATCTCTTATTATGAGCAAAGCCCCTAATTCCTGTTACTCTGGACATTTAGAGGGAGGGACAGAAGTTTATCTTCAGGAAAAGATAAAATCGCCCTTAGCTCAAACCAGTCTGCATACCGCAAAAGCACATCTTGGAGTAACTTGTAAGAACTTCCACATCTTTATTTTAAAACCGCTGCCATTGGATGGATAAGATAATATAAGAGTTAGATCCAAAATGTATTCCTGCCAGATGGAAATAAACTTCCCTGTTTATACAGCGACAGTCTTCTCTTAATAATATTTGTGTGAAAAGCCCTTAATGGTTGCATTTGCCCTTGGTTACAGGGCCGTGGAGGGAGTTTGTACTTCAAAAACACCCTCGCCTCCCATTCTTTTCATCAGTGTATCACTATGAAACAATATAAATTATTCATTTATCCAATGTGACAATATTTGATTCATACAACTTTGGTCCTTAGCGTTGAGAGGAGAGTTTTCTTAGTAATCAAGGACGAGATTAAAACAGAAAAGTATCTTAAGAAAACATAGGATCTTTGCTTTCTAGACAGAAAACTTGTCATAACATCTTATCTAGAGCAGAACAGTGCAGGAAACGTTTGTCCTTTAACAAAGTCAAAAAGAACTAAACTCTGCATCTACATCACCTAACTTTTGATATTTCCATTCATTTACTTCATTAAATTTATTCCAATCTTATTTGGCATAACCATACCTAACATCGCTTCTCTCACGATTTCCCTTCACGAACCTTCTACAACTTTCCTCTTTACATTCAGATATTGTCCTGTTTTCCCGTTTCCCATTCTGAACCAACCAGCTTCACTTTCAGACAAGCTTAACTGCCTTTCCTTCCAAAATACATCTCCGTATCTCATTCCTTTTTTTATACCCAAAACATAGCCTGTTTTTCGTGTATATACAATCGTTTGTCCTATTAATTTTTATTTCTGTAGCTTTAATTACATATTGGCGTTCTTAACTATTAAAAGACATTGCTAGTGAAAAAATTACACTGTGACTATTACACGAGTATTCTTTACCTTGATACATTCGTGAACAAATTTAATAATTTCTAGAAATATATTTCCTCAGCACTAAAACATTTAATGCTCCACAAGACGCGTTATGTTGCATTCACAAAGCCTATATGTTTGGTGCATCAAATATTTAATATTCAATTGATCAGAGATTGGAATAGATTTATCAAAAATGCCGCCACAGGGAGGAGGGGGCTCCCCAGTTTCCTCAAATCTATCTCAGTGCTCCTTCAGCCCAGGTGTGTTCTCACAAGGGGGGACGAGAAAGGGGGGGGCTGAGGAGGAGTCCAAGTCTCCACACCTCTGTTGGGTCGGACCCCAAGTTCAGGCCGAGCCCCTCCGTCCATCGCGTCTCCACAGGAGAAGCCGTCAGCCCGGGGGGGACGCAGGCTGGGGTTCAGGGGCAGCTCCCCGCGACATGCGCACTCACAGCACAAACCTCTTTAGCCCTCACAACAGGAAGAAACACCAGACAAACCCGAGTCAGTCTCCGCCCCCTACTTTACGCCAAAACTAAAAATAACACACTCGGATCGCCCACCCCACCCTCAGCCGGCCTCGCGGGCGGGTCTCCTCACCGTTCCCTCCCGTGTCGGTCCCGCGGCGCCACCCGGGCTCCTGAGGGACACGGGCGGCCTCAGCACTGGGCGCCCCCGAAGCCGGGAAGCTCCTCTCTCGCGCCTCCTGAGAGGGCGCAGCAGAGTCGTCGCTCGCCAGGAGCCAACGCCACGGACAGAAGACACGTGCACTACGTGGGGTCACGCTGGGGCACGCGAGTGGGGCATAGGGTCACGCATGGGCACGCAGGGGTTCAGGTGGGGGTCACGCCGGCTGGGACCGGCCGCGCAGTGCGGGCAGCCCAGGTCTGAGGGCAGGGCGACCTGAGTCTGCACTGATCGGCCAATCGCCCCAGGACCCGCCCCCCGGCCCCGCCCCCGGCTCCGTCATGTCCCTGCGCCCCAGGCCCTGCCCTGGATCCCAGCGCGGCTCTGTCCTGGAGGCCTGGTCTGACCCGGCTGTGCGGGCTGCGTGCCAGGGAGCGGCCCCCACGTGGGAGGGCCAGGCTGTCCCCCGGGGGAGGGGAGCTGAAGGGACCCAGCTCTTTCACCCTCAGTGTCAGCGGCCCCTCCTGCCCAGGGAGGGCTGTGGTCACCGCCGGATGCCTGGATTTCCAGAGTGGGAGATGGCAGAAGAACGCGCTCCCCCTCCCAGGGCAGGTGTTCAGGTCCTTTGAAATGTTAAGGTGACAGCAGGTTTAGAAACTTCTGATTTTACTTTCCTAAGTCTCTACCTGAGCACCGATTTTTATTGTCAGAGAGAAAACAAGTATAAAAGGAAAGAAAACATCGCACCAAGGTTTGGTACAAGTGCGTGACCACCAACCACTGACGACCAGAGAACAGCAGCCGAGCTGGGTCACATGGGACTTGAAACCTTAGTCCCATGAGGCCAAACCCTAGAGGCAGGGAGAAAAGTATAAACCTGACAACCAGACAAGCCACACAGTCTCATTAGAAAGACATACACACGTGTTACTCCCAAGATGCCCACGAGATGGCTGCAGAGACCAGCATTTCCAAGTGACATACACACAGGTATTATTCCTGAAACTCACACGAGATGGCAGCAGAAAATAGCTTTTACTGGTGACTACTCAGGTGTTACTCCCTACGTGCACAAGAGATGACAGCAGAGAGCGATTCCCCGCCCGCCCCCTTTAAAATGAGACTCCTGGGCCTTGTGGCAGAACAAGCTCTCCTGTTGGTGTCCACACAGCCAAAGTCCCCTGAGTGCTGACTCCGGCATCTGTGCCAGCTTTGTCCTCAGGACAGCGCTCACCACAGCCCCTCCTGGCCTTCGCACCCCTGCTCCTCTCCAGACTCATATCCCCGCCTCAGCTCAGGCCGGCAGCACGTCTCACAGTCTTTTCACTGGTCTCCCCGCTTCCCGTCCCTCTCTCGTCCAGTGCAACCTCCACACTGACCAGCTTGAACTTTCTAAGTTAGGGATCCAATCCTGTCACTTCTTGTGCATAGAACTACCAACAGCTTCCTCCTAGGGTGGGGAATGAAGTCTCTGTCATCAGCACAGTGTGTAAACTTTATCAGTCCTCATGTTCTTCTCCTGGTCTTCTTTCCTATCATAACACCCCAATTCGGTCCCCAGGTATCCCCAGCTGTCAGCATTAACTTGTATGGTTGGATGACCAGTGTGGGCTTTAACAGATAGTGTGTCCAGCACTCAGACTGAGCATGAATGCGGAAACCTGAATATAATACAAACTCTAGTGAATAATAATGCATCAACATTTGTTTGTTAATTGTAAAAATTCTGGAGGAAAAAAACCTAGAAAGAGAGGGGAAATTAAAAATAAAATAAGAGAAAACGATTGCATTGAAATGAGTGACTTCCTAGGGAAAATTGCACATTAACAAAATGGACCTAAAATATGGAAAAGACGAACAGATCAATTAGCCATGAACCTCTTCCCCTGCTGGTTCTCCTCTCATGTCCTGGGGTTCCCTCTCCTGAGACAGGGAAGGAACAAGGACAGAGCTGGTTGGCAGCTCCCCTAAAATCTGACCCCACCCAGTGTCCTCATGTCCCCCAGCTGGGCCCCGCCCAGTGAGGACACTGTGTAGAGGAAGTCTCAGGGATTATTGATTCTGCTGTGTCAGCCAGGACTTTTTTTATTGCAAGGGGCTAGGCACACTTACTGAAGTAAAACAAATTAATACTCTTTAATGGCAAAAATAAATCAATGCTTGCAAGAGGCAAGTTTAAGAGTGGAATTGGACCTGGCAGGTCCCGGTTCTCACACTCTCTTTGGCCTCAGTGTGAGGCCGCCTGCTGGGAGACGCAGCTGCTCCCACAGCTGTGATCCTCACCGAGTGTGACTGTTAGAGGCTTGTTACCACCGGGAGGCCAAAGGGTTGCAGGGCCACGGTCTGCTGTGTGGCTGTCATGGCCAGGGCCACATTCAGTGTTTGCAGGGTTCTCACCTCTCTTGGAGGCTGAGGCTGTGAGGGAGGATGCGCTGGAATCACCACATGGATGCTGGGAACTGAAACCTCCCAAGACGCTGTCTGCACTTCCTGGGGAGCTGCTCAGCTGCCCAGCACCATGGTCAGCTCAGTAACTGGCTGTGGGGGCTCGACAGGGCCCTACTGGCCTGAGCTGGAGGACCACAGATGCCTCCATGGATGGTCAGAAGCCTAGGGCTCTGTCTGAGACCTGAATGTCTCCTGCTGCCCACTCGGATGGGATGAAGAACCCAGATAGTCCAAGGAGGGCCCCACCAGCCCTCAGGAAGGCTGTACCTGGGGGTGGGCAGGTCATTGCACACAGTCCTGTATAAATCCACACATGTCTACTGAATGCCCTTGTGTGTCAGGGCTGAGCTGGAACCGTGGGCTGCCACCCCTTCCCTGGGGAGAAGGCAGATGGAAATACTGCATGAGTCAGGCTCTCCACAGCCCTGGACTGAGGCTGAGTTGGATTTAAACCAGTGATCAGAGTCTAGGACTGTGGGACAAACAACCAGCGGTCTACTCAAACCCTGACTCATGTGTGACCCTGGGCGAGTCCTGTCCATCCTGGAAGCCTCAGAGAGATAAATAAGAGAGGAGGAAGTGGGCCAGTGAGGCTCCAACCGACCCCAACCCTCTGACACTAACCCCCTAACCTCAAACCTCAAACCTTAAATCCTAACAACCCTACCCCCGGACACCGTGACCCTCAACCCTGACACACTCTAAACTGTGACCCTCTGACCATGACCCTGACTCTTATTCTGACCCTTAACCCTGTTCTTGATCCTGACTGATCCTCACCCTAACATCCTTTAACAAATAAAACTCAACAAATTAGGTATAGACGGAATATATTTCAACAAAATTTAGGACACATGTGACAGCTAATATCACACTCAACAGTGAAAGGTTGAAAGTTTAGCCTCTATGATCAGGAAAAAGATGGGTCTACACTCTGACCGCTTTTATTCAATGTCTTACTGGAAGTCCCAGCCAGAGCAGTTAGGCAAGAACAAGAAATAAAGGATGTCCAAATCATAAAAGAAGAATTGTCTCTGTTTGCAGAAGATACGATCTTATATGTAGAAAATCCTAAAGATCCCTCAAAAAAATCTGTTAGAACTGGAAAATATATTCAGTAAGGTTACAAGATACAAATACACAGAAAAATCAGTTGTACTTCTATACACTAACAAAGAACGATCTGAAAAAGACATAAAGAAAATAATCTTATCTACACTAGCACCAGAAACAATAAAATACTTAGGAGTAAGTTTAACCAAGGAATTAAAATATCTGTAAATGGAAAACTATAAAACATGATGGAAGAAATTGAAAAAGACACAAATAAATGGAAAGATATGACATACTCATAAAATAGTAGAATTAATACTATTAAAATGTCTATACTACCCAAAGCTATGAATACAGTTCAATGCAACCTCTATAAAAATTCAAATGTTTTTTTTCACATAAACAGGAAAACTCCTAAAATTCTTATAAACTGCATAAGGTTTTCACTGCCTCAAGCAATCCTGAGAAAGAAGAACAATGCTGGGCATCGCATTTCCTGACTTCAGACTGTATTCCAAAGCTACAAAACAAGAACCGTATGGTGCTGGCATAAAACGAGACACGGCCCCGTGGGACAGAATCAAATGCCCAGAATAAACACACACATGGACCTGTCTTCACTATTGACCTTTCTAAACGTTCAGGAGCTCTCCCTGGGAGGGGAAACTGAGAGAAAGGGCCACTGCGGAATAAGTGAGGGAGGGATTATGTGCCAATTCATTTGAAAACCTGGTGTTTCAAACTGCCTGGGTGAGCACGTTCAGTGGGGTCCTCTGAGCAGGAAGGTCTCCGTGGGACTGGGCTGGGGCTGTCAAGTCGGTCACCTGGGCCTCTGTCTCCTTTTCTACGGAGCAGCTTTTTGGCCACTTTGAGTATCAACTGGGCGGATATCTGTTGTTATAGACAGTTGAAAATCTCCAATGTGGCCCAACCCAGGATGTGACATTTAAGAAAACAGATTTATGAAGCAGAGCTAGAGGCCTGAGGCCCCAGGGAGGATTAGCAACCCCACCCACCAGTCACAGTCCCCAGGGTTGGCTGCCTCCCAGGAGGTGCCAGCTGCTGAGGGGCCCATGGTAGACACATGGGGAGACCCCTCTCCATCTTGGTCCTCCTATGGGGACAGGCCTACCCGCCTGGAGATGTCCCTGGTCTCCTTCAGGTGGTGAATCGAGGCAGGCGCTCTGCAGAACACAAAGGGTGGTGAGCTGTGGGAAGTTCCTGAGGGTCCTTCCTTGGCTTCTGGGGGGAAGAGCTGTGAGGTGGGGAGTGGGAGCCCTGCTTGCTCTAGCTTCAGTCCTCCTCAATTTCCATGTCCCCTCCTGGGTGGGACAGATGCTCAGGGAGCCAAGGGAGGCCACATTTAGGACCCAAAGAGTGATACTGAGAGAGTGGAGGATTTTAGCTCAACCCAAGGAAGGAGCCAGGAAGGAAGTGAGCCTCCCACCACGGGGACCTGAGATTCCAGGTCAGCGTGCCTGTGGCAGGAGGGACCTAGACCCTACGCAGGGGTTCAGGCTGCAGACTTCAACCTTGGGAACTGACACAGCACAGGCACTTCTCAAGGCTCTGGGTAGGGACCCCGCTGGACCTCCCACAGCCACCCTGGCACATGGCTGCAGGCCCAGCACCCTGGCCCTGACCTGGGCCATCAACACCAGTTCTCCCAGGCAGGCAGTGAGGATGCCACTGGCCACACTGTTGAACTGTGTGACAAGGACATGGACAGTGGGTGCCAGGTGCTCGCAAACAGGCTTTCCCTTCAGGACCATGTAGAGCCCAGCACTGGTG